TAGACATACTAACAGAGTCGTTAACTGGTGATAACGGATGTTATAGGTTCTTTTAACGAATGGTGGCGACATGTCTATTTTGGCCTGGTTAACGAATTCTAATGTTTCAAATGTTAGTCAACGATTAGTTCATGTTTTAAATGGCCACATATGAAATTGATGTTTAAAATGGCCACAATTTGAAAGTTGACTAACAGAGTTGTTAGGAGTGATAACGGGCGTTAGAGGTTCCGTTAACGATTGATAACGGCATGTCTATTTTGGTCTGGTCAACGAATTTTCATGTCTCAAACGTTAGTCAACGTTTATTTCATGTTTTAAATGGCCACATATGAAGTTAACGTATTGATTGGCCACTTTTTGAAAGTTGGGAGATAAAACGACATTTTTCCCGTATTGGTGAACAAGAACAAAAGGTTTTTTTTTTTTTTTTTTTTTGAAAAAAGCAAAACATAAGTATCAAAACTCAAAAGGATGATAGAGAAAATAAAATTGATGGAACCCATTATAATTATGGCCTATTGGGCTTAATTTCTAGCCCTTTATCTCGTTTTGATTGGAGCTAGGATAGTTTAACGGTCATTTGTCAAGATGAAATGTGAACCCCTATCTACGGAATAGTTTGGAATATCTTACTGCAAAACCCAATTACGTATAAGCAAACATGCATATATTTACAATTTTGTTATTTTATCTTTCTTTGGTTTTGTTTGTTTTCTACAATTAGTAAATTTTACCATCTTCTTTGACCATAAATGATTTTATGATGTCTTGTATATATATGCACAAACGTATTTTTCAATACTGATAACAAAATATTGAAATTTTGATAGTAAGTTACAAATCAAACGTTAATTAGTACATTCATATAAATCATAGTAACTTTTATTGTTGTTTATTTGTTTTCTCAAATTCGCTCTGAGAAATGAGTAAGCCAAAGAGCAAAACATTTGAGAATGATGTTAGCTATGATGGGCTAAATAAACCGTGTGAAAAAGAAGCATTATTTGTAGAAACATGTTGAGCTTACGAGAGATATAAGACAATACTTTTATTGTTAATTAATTTTGAGTTTTTTTTTTGTTAATTAATTTTGAGTTAGAGAACTTATATTTTAATATGATATTAATCTGATCTTTATATTCTCCAGTCCATCCAATTCTGTTGTGTCGATCCATGTCAAAAAACTTGAGATCAATGATTAGAAGATAAGAGATCATGATTAGAATATATGAGATATTGATCAATTTACTCATTTTCAAGTAGTTTTGCAAGCAACATTAGGTCTTCCAAAATAGTGGTTATGAGACAAGGCTCGCGAAAAGAATATATCCTTCGTGTTGGTGTTTCGAATTCTGATCCCAATCAGGGCCGATCCAGACCTAAAACCTATCAAGCAGATGTCTTAGGCATCAGATTATATTTTAATTTTAAGGGGCATCAAAATTTAGGGAACACATCGCTACATCTTAAGACTTCTCTTCCAAGCCACTGTTTACTCAATCTGGTTCGAACGCAATCGTCGAAGACATGGAGAAATCCCTAGCTCGCCAGAACAGTTGATCAAGTTTCTAGATAGATTGGTGCGGAATAAGATCTCTTCCATCCAATCTCTTGGCTCACGAAAGCTTGAAGATGGTCTGCAGATTTGGTTCGACTTAAGAAGCTAGCTCTCTTCTTTTGTTCTAAAGTTGATTTAAGACTCTCAAAAACATTCAATTAAGGATGCATATATTGTAACATGGTTTTTTTGGGTTGAATAAATTTAACATTCATTCAAAAAAAAAAAAATTTAGAAAATTTTTTGTAGTTAAGTGGTTATTGTCTCATTTATTAGGGGTAGGTGATGAGCTCGAGTCATATTAAATCAAAATTTTAACATTTTTTTTTATCCTATACTATTATTTGGGGAGTACAATTTACAATTACCCTTAATTAACCTTCCCCTTTGTAAGAATTCACTTAAGAATGCCATTAGAAATAAAATTTTTATAGAGTAAATTAATTCAACTCATTAAGGATAAACAACTAAAATACTATTTTATGCAATTTAATTATAAAAACAAAAATCTATTATTAATTTCTTTAAAAAGAATGACCAATCAAAATGAACATATAAGATTTGATATCTAACTTACCATATTAATTTGTTATTAATCATTATACTTCACCTCTCATCTTTATATGATTCTATTTCTATAAATAAATAAATCATTAATTCATCTATATAATATAAAAAAAAGTAAATTTTTTTCCGCATATACCAAGATTTGAATTTTTAAAAACGAATATAAATTATTTAATGTATGAAAGAACAAATTTAACGGGTCAAAAATTCATATTTGAGTAATATATTCCTTTTTTTTAATATCATCAATACTTAATAGATCAAAAATTTATAGAGTATAAATACTCTAATTTGATTTTTTGAAACAAATATTTATAATAGGCGGCAGGTTGAATATAATATATTATATGATGAAATGAGTTATGATCCTTATAACTATTTGAATATTCATATTTAATTTCATATCATCTTTTTTAAATTCATAATTTTACATACTACAATAAAATTTTTTAAAGATTTTAATTTGGAACATTTTAAAAAAGTTTAATTTAATATATTAAAGAATATCATAAATATTTAATAGATTAAAAAGATAAAAAAATTATAAATATATTAATTTGATTTTCTAAAAAGATATGTTTAAAATATTTATAGTAGGCAGCGGTTTAATGTAATATATTATATGGTAGAAAGTTATGATCCTTATAACAGACGGCATTATAAGATTTTATGATGAGATGAGTTAACTAAGGTTTGACGCTTCTAAATATTTGAAAATTTGATTCTGCAAGCAATTTTGAAAATAATAAATAATAGATTAATTTTCATAGGGATTGTAAAATGAAATATAGACTCCACACACGGATTGAATTTGGTATTATTATATACCAAATATATGTTCATAACATATTTGATTATGTGGATAATTGATAAATTCCGTAATTAGCTCAAACAAATCTCTATTTCAACAACCAATGAATCAAAATTTGAAAAAATAATTTCCTAAATTAATTCAAAATAATAGCTAATTTTCTTAAGTAATTCAAAATAATCTACGTTTTAGATGCGATTCATTTATGATATTTTAATTTTTGATCTAACTAAATTATATGCACTCTCACTTTGTGGTTGTTAACATAAATTAACTCATTGTTCAAAAAATATTAATTTTTTAAAAAAATAATCTTATTTTCCGTTTTCATATCTTAAAAAAATATCCATAATTGAATACTATAGATTAAGGAAAATATATTCATTCTAATATTATATATAGGACTGACAAAAAAATATTATTTTTCACTTACTATTCTAATATATCACAACTTTATTCTAAAACTTTGTAATAAATGAAATTCAACCCGTACTGTAATACAGGTGATGATCTAGTTTTTGTTTGTAAATAGACAACATAATTTTTTTGGATTTTAGACATTCAAATTTTTTGGGCCGGTCCTAATCCCAATAAAAAAATTTAGTATGAAAACCAACAATGATAAATTTTACAAAATTGTGGACAGAGATTCCTAGGAGATTTTTAAAAAGGTCGAACTAAAGGCACCACGATATGCAATACGGCGCAAGCCAATGACCATATTTTGGATCAACAACATGTTACTCCCTCCGTTTCGTTTTAGTTGTCGTTTAAGGTTTTTTCACACAAATTAAGAAAAACATTAAATTTTCTGTTTAACCCTTTATTAATATATTTTATAAAAATTTCATTGGTCAAAACATTAAAACAGTAGGGATAAAACTGGAATTTTCACCAAACATTTGCATTGAAAACCTAAAATGACAACTATTATGAAACAAAATTTAAATCCTAAAACGACAACTAAATTATTGAAACGGAGGGAGTACTTAATTAGTTATTGAGAAAAAATTGTTTTACGCGTTATCGTGTTGTTATATAGATTCAAAGAGAGAGATTTATTTGCAGGTTTGAGATAGTTTTGTTTTTAAAATAATGTAGTAGGAACCAAACCAATATGCTAGATCAATATTTAAGAAGAAGCTTCTCCGATATACTCCAAAATATCTCAAATGGACCATGCATTAGCAATATTTTACTTTTAAATGTTCCAGTTTTATATAAATTTTAAATGAATATAATATCCTTTTTTGTAAAATAAGTTTTTCTAGGACATGATAGATATTATTTTTTGTTGGTACGTCGTATATGCAAATTAATTAATGGGTATTATGTTAAATTTGATTATTTTAATTAGTTATGGAAGTAAGATTATGTTATTATAATGAAATGTGTTATCATTCATTAATAATTTTTAATCAAAATATAATGCACATGTTTTTATTTTGTAACATCCTTTAGGTGATAAATGTCAATTCATAGTTCAATTTCTACTACTGTGAATAACATGAATTACTACAATCAAATTTTGGTAGAAAAAATATCAAAAATAAATCGTTAACCATTTTAGAAATTTTAGAAAAATCGCCAGACACTAGTCAGATGTTTGGTATGAGCTTAGCGATTAATCAGATAGTTGAATTAAAATCGCAGACCAATTTTCTTTGTTTTAATTATGATTTTCATTAAAATTTTGAGCATATGTTATTGTACAACATCACAAACTCGTAATCTAAATGTTTGAATAATAATAAAAAAATTATTTATATATATGTAATTTTAAAATAATTGGAATATGCATAATTAACTGATGAGTAATTATATTAGACAAACAATAATCGAATAACTAATTTCTGCAAAGAAATAATCATTAATCATGACAGAACCGATGAACTTAAGCGGAGAATAATCGGAGTTTTAAGTAAAAAATTTTAAAATTAGACTAATAAACTTTTTATTTTTTATTTTTTTTGCATAATTGTTTTTGTTTTTTTTTTTTGGTATTTCTTGTTTGACTAGTTGACTCTTTTTTTTTGGGTTGAAAAACCCAATCCTACCCGAAATTATCGCAATTGATAATGTAGCTGACTTAACATTGACTAGCCTAACCAAGCTGAGCCGTTTTAAGAGTCATGACTAATTTATGATTACGCTCTCTACAAGTCCATGGAGATGACTTCGTCGTTCTTCATCTTCGTATAGTTTTCATGCTTTGAGTCAAACCTAGTGACCAAAAAACTCATTACTAGATCACCAACAAAAATGGCGAAATCAGAGAAACACAAGTTAGCGCAAACCTTAATCGATTCAATAAACGAGATCGCTTCAATTTCCGATCACCACACACCGATGAAGAAGCACTGCGGAAACCTCTCTCGGCGATTGAAGCTTCTTATTCCTATGTTGGAAGAGATCAGAGACAATCAAGAATCGTCGTCGGAAGTTGTGAAGGCTTTGTTATCTCTTAAGGAGTCGCTTGTTCCTGCTAAGGATTTGCTTTCTTTCGTTAGCCAAGTTAGCAAAATTTATCTGGTGTGTGAGTATTTCGAATCTATAAACCTGTTTTTGATTTTGAGATTTCTGCGAATTGATGTTGATGCTCAGATCTGTATGTGTAGTTGGATTTGAAATTGAATTTGAAACTGAATCTATCGGTTGTGGGTTTTTTTTTTTTTTTTTTTGGATTCGACAAGGTCCGATCCATAGCCAATCTCTACCTCGCATGGTAACGCGACTTAGTGGAATCTGAACTCCGTTAGGAAAAGTGGAGTCAAGTGGACTTAACACTTGATTCTAATTGATAATTTTGGAGATTTTGCTATTTATAAGTTTTTCATGCCATTGTTTGCTCCATGAATCTTTAATATGTAATCTAATGATTCGTTTAGGTGTTGGAGAGAGACCAAGTGATGGTTAAATTTCAGAAAGTGACGGCTCTATTGGAACAAGCTTTAAGTGGAATCCCTTATGAGAATCTTGAAATTTCAGATGAACTTAAAGAACAGGTACTAAAACATTCACTGCTCTGCTTTGTTCTTTTACGTTTTCTTTTTCTTGAACTTCAGCTTTTCGGGTTCATTACTTGTTGTAGGTTGAGCTTGTTTTAGTTCAGTTAAGAAGAGCGATAGGAAAAGGCGGCGATGTATATGATGATGAGTTATACAGGGATCTTTTATCTCTTTACAGTGACATAGGCAGTGTAACGGAGTCTGACATGCTTAGGAGTGTGGCGGAGAAGCTTCAGTTGATGACTATAACTGACCTTACGCAAGAGTCATTAGCTTTACTTGATATGGTTAGTTCTAGTGGTGGAGATCCTGGTGAAAGTTTTGAGAAGATGTCTATGGTTCTCAAGAAGATTAAGGACTTTGTGCAAACTGATAATCCTAACTTGGATGATGCTCCGATGAGACTGAAATCAAGGCTTCCGAAGTTACAAGATGGAGATCAGGATAGGCCAGTGCCGCCTGAAGATTTCCGTTGTCCAATTTCTCTAGAATTGATGACGGATCCAGTTATTGTTTCTTCAGGGCAGGTATTGTTAAAAGCATTACTCCCTTTACGTGTCTTTTAATTCATTTCCAGTTTTATTGACTGGTCTCGTCGGAATCCTGTGTAGACATATGAACGTGAGTGCATTAAGAAGTGGCTTGAAGGAGGACACTTGACGTGTCCAAAGACGCAAGAAACGCTGACAAGTGATACCGTCACACCAAACTATGTTCTAAGAAGCCTTATAGCTCAATGGTGTGAGTCTAATGGCATCGAACCTCCAAAGCGTCCCAACAATTCTCAACCGAGTAGTAAAGCCTCATCTTCCTCCTCAACCCCTGATGATGAACATAACAAGATTGAAGAACTCCTACTTAAGCTCACATCGCAACACCCTGAAGACCAAAGATCCGCTGCAGGAGAAATCCGTCTTCTAGCAAAACAAAACAACCATAACCGAGTCGCCATTGCTGCATCAGGCGCGATCCCTCTTCTGGTGAATCTCCTCACGATATCCAATGACTACAGAACTCAAGAACACGCTGTGACATCGATTCTTAATCTCTCGATATGCCAAGAGAACAAAGGAAGGATTGTTTATTCATGTGGAGCGGTTCCAGGTATTGTTCATGTGCTCCAGAGAGGCAGCATGGAAGCTAGAGAAAACGCAGCAGCTACACTTTTCAGCCTCTCGGTTATAGACGAGAACAAAGTGACAATAGGTGCCGCAGGAGCGATCCCGCCTCTTGTGACCTTGCTGAGCGAAGGATCACAAAGAGGCAAAAAAGACGCGGCGACTGCTCTGTTCAATCTCTGCATATTTCAAGGGAACAAAGGAAAAGCTGTGAGAGCCGGTTTAGTGCCCGTGCTAATGAGGTTACTAACAGAACCCGAAAGTGGAATGGTTGATGAAGCACTCGCTATATTAGCCATACTATCCAGTCACCCGGACGGGAAATCAGTGGTTGCTGCCGCTGATCCAGTTCCGGTTATGGTAGATTTTATCAGAAACGGGTCACCGCGAAACAAAGAAAACGCAGCTGCAGTATTAGTGCACTTGTGTTCATGGAATCAGCAGCATTTGATTGAAGCTCAGAAATTAGGGATTATGAGTCTTTTAATAGAAATGGCTGAGAATGGTACTGACAGAGGAAAACGCAAAGCGGCACAGTTACTTAACCGGTTTAGCCATTTTAACGACCAGCAGAAACAACAGTCCGGTTTAGGTGTGGAAGATCAAATCTCTCTAATCTGAGTTTAGTTTAGCGTTTAATGTTTGCTTATATACATTCACAGTTTTCTCACATTTTTTTTTCTTAACCAAACTCAGACGAAAAGAATCAAGATTTTGAAACCTGTAAATCACTTTTCATCTTTTAATTTACATTTTCTCAATTTATTTCTCGACTAGTGTATTTTTAGTTTCAATTTTTTTTTTTAATTAGAGTTTTAAAAGAAAAGAAAAAAAATCTTTTATAAAATATATAATTTCCTTATTTCGCCGTGGAAAACAAGGCAAAAATAAATGTACAAAAATGCATATATCTTGAGCTTGAGCTTGAGCAGCAAGTTGTACAGATCTGATCGCAGCAAAATGCAGAGATTCTTGTTTAGCCGCGTCGTGGAAAATCAACATCAGATAAGCCGAAGATTTCTCAATCTAGTTCCATCTCTATCACCACCAGTTCCTGCTCTGTCTCGTTTCTTTCCGAAGATTACTGCTTCTGATTCCACTTCCTCTCTTCCCGTTGTTAGTGTTACTCTTGACTCCATCAATCCCAAGGTCGGTGGTTCGAGAATTCATTTACCCTATTTGATTCATTTGTCGGATGCAATTTACAGTCTGAAAAATGTTGGTTTTTGTGTTTTTTTTGGTCTGTGATGTATCACTTTCCTCAGATTAATCTTCCTAAAAAGGCGATTGATGCCGTAAAGACAGCACCTGATGTGTTCTACTGCAAACGCCTTCTCAACGCCACTGGTTCTCGTTTCGGACAGGTAAAGAAAAGACAAATCTTCACCACATGAAAAACTTTTTAACGTTTTTAAAAAATAGAAGTTTGAAGCTTTGTGTTTTTACATTCACTCTTGGTTAGGTTCTTGGAACATGGCATTTCAGATGCACAATTCTTCCGGCGACAGCGAATCGCGTCAGAGAGGTCCACAAGACGACTTCCATCAACGAAAATAAACCAACAAAAAAGAGTTCCGTCAGCGAAAAGAAACAAAAAAAAAAGACTTCCATCAGCGAAAAGAAACCAAAAAAAAAGAGTTCCGTCAGCGATATCCCTAGAAGAACAAAGTTTCAGAAACATCATCGAGGAAGAATTAAAGGAATATCTACTCAAGGGAATATTTTTGGTAGATATGCTCTTCAAACACTTGAACCCGCTTGGATCACATCTAGACAAATAGAAGCAGGGCGACGAGCAATGACACGAAATATAGGACGTGGTTTAAAAGTTCGAGTTCATATATTTGCAGACAAACCAGTTACAGTAAGACCCCCCGAAACGCGAATGGGTCGTGGGAAAGGAGATCCAGCGTTTTGGGTAGCTGTGGTTAAACCAGGTAAAATCATTTATGAAATGGGTGGTGTATCCGAAAAAATAGCCAGAGAAGCTATTACAATTGCGGCATCAAAATTGCCTATAAAAACCAAATTCATTATTTTTGAATAAGTTGAATTGAATGTAGCAGAATTGATGTGTATTCAAATAATAGGAGCTAGTAATCGCAGCTATGCTCATATTGGTGATGTAATTTTGGTTTGGTTCGGGTTTATTCTTTTTGTCTGAGATTGATTTAAGGTTTGCTTTCACAATCACAGTTTAGTCACTCTTTATTTGGGAACCCCACTTTACTTGTATTTTTATATCAAACTCACACAAAAAAAGAACAAGATTTTGAAACATGTAGATCACTTTTATCTCAAATCTTGTTTCACAATCTCTACGTCGATGATGGTCAACGAGGAAGATGAGATTGCTTCAATAACTTTGTTCCATCTCTTAAGCATCGTAGGCTTCTCTGTTTCCTCAGTACTTGTTACACACTGTGTTTCCAGTTCCTTAAACAGCATCTCAAAAGCTTCCATATATATCAAAATCACTTCAAAAGTTACAACTTTTGGAGATAATGATGCAAGCCTAGTTACTTATATTTTTTATATTTGAATCTTTATCTTATTTTGGTAAAGATGATTTTTTTTGGTGTTTTTGGAGTTTAACTTATCATTATGGGGGTTTTATTTATTTTTTGGTATTGATTAATAATATAGTATACTTTGGTCTTGTATTTTTGTTGTTTTCGGTACATCAACAAAGATCTCAACGAATATAAGAATGCTTAGTTTTCCGGTATTCCCTGAATCAACAGATCATTGACTTATCCTTGTTAGGTCTAACTCGAGCTTACACAAAAGCTTACCGTGATGTACTCAAATTCATCTGGGTCAAACTCGTCCATAATCTGTGCTGCATATTCATCGGCTTTGTTCTTGATGGTGGACATATTGTTAGCAGATGCAATAAGACTGATAAACTGTGAAGCAAAACAAAAAGATCAATGATCAAAAAGTCAAAAGACTCAAAACTGCATTTCACATAAACTATTATTTTTACCTCTCTAACTTCATCTTTTGTTAATCTACCATCATCATCCTTATCCGCACTGCATTTCACATACTTTTGTGTTTCGACTTTACATTCAAATTTTCAATCCATGAGAAATAAAACGAAAGAACCGAAAATCTTACATTTGAGAATCATCATAATTAGCCTGGAATCGAAGCTTTGATCATTTACTTGATCCAATAATTCTAATAGTTGACCATTATCAATCACTTCCTCTCTTATACATCTTCGTTTTGCCAAATGCCAATGCGTAAAACAATTCCAAGGCGAATTCCTTTGAGTTTATCCCTGAATTGTTATATTTTAGAAGTTCATTTGATTCAAAAACTACTTAAATATAATAAAAATAATTACTCTTCAGCTCAAAACCATTTAGCAACCAATAAATGAAATAGATTCGAAATCATGACTTTTCAACTCAAAACCAATTGACACTAAACATAATAGCGTGCATATATTTTATATTCGCCGGTAGAATCCATTTCTTTAGTAATACGCGGGTTTTAACAAAATCCACCCTTGTTTTCTATTCTACAATAAACTTACCTATGCATTCACAGAATTTCGAACAGGTCAACAGCCCACCAGTATTCTTCGTCATCATATCAAACCGCCTCTCCACGGCGGTCCAATCACCTTCAGTTGGCCGGATGATCATTTTTAGTCTTTTCAAGGACGCTGCAGCGGTTGACTTTGACATGTGGCTTGTTGTATTCCTCATTGTTGATAAGGATTTCAAACTATTAGAATGTCTCACATTGCTTGGGATTAAGATCTTTAGGTAGCATATAAAGGATGTGGCAATCCTTAACTCTTGAGCTAGCTTTGGGTTAAGTTAGGTCACATTCCTAATACAAACGCTTTAACTCATCACAAACAAAGGCGATCCGCTTCCGCCGTTCCTCCACCATGTCTTCATGAAGGTTTACCCTCATGATCACGTTCTCATCCGCGTCCTCGCAGTTATTCATCGTCCACTCATCTGACCGCTGTGAGATACTAATATATCGCTGATGCTTCCCCACTCGTTTTCGTCGGGGTCATAGTCCGTTACGTCAAAGCTTACCCTTCTCTCCATAGAAGAATACAACCTGAAAGTTTTCGTTTCTTTTTGACGAAAAAGTTAAAAACGTTATATGATATCAACTTATTTGTCTAATTTAACTTTTTGGGAGAAGAGAATTAGTCTTAGGAACGTTTAGATTTTTAATATTCCGTTGGCAGACCATCAATCGACATTTAATTTTATTTATTTAAGTAGTCAATATTTATTAAACTTATCCAGGTGAGGATTTTTGTATATAAAACTCAAATTGAAGACAGTTGGCTTATAACCAAACTATTGAAGCTTGTAGTAACAAAGGGAATTGCGCTTTACTATGCTTTGATCTCCGGCCCAAACTCAAAAATCCGCCACAAATTTTTATTTCTGTTGACTTAGAAAATTTCTTCAAGACCTTTAGAGCATGATTAACAATGGTATCTTAAAAATGGTTCTTAGAAGTATTAAAGTTAAGAACTCTTAGTTTTGGGTCTTAGCTAAGCTACTTTTCTTAGTTTTGGGTCTTAGCTAAGTCACATTTCTTATTTAAGAACACTTTAAGATACCTTTGTTAATGGTGGTCTTATTGCTTCTTTTTCGTGTCCACTGACTAGAAGCTAACAAGGGGACTTAAAAGGCAAAAACAACGTAACAAAAAGATATACCCGAAGAAAAGATACAACATGATTAAGTAAATTCTTTTACATGATTTCCACTTAAAGTAAGTCATGAATAGCAACGATAGATTTTGCTTTTGGCGTTACTTAGGCTTTATATCGATGTTGAAAAGCGTTATGAGTCTCTTGGAATAGGGAAAATGCATAACACTTCTCTTTCTGATTTTGTTTTTGAAAAGTATTATAAAATTTGCCGTATAATAGGTGAGTGGCTTGCTAGTTGCCACCGACTTAAATTTCTCAATTCGTCTAACTTCAAACAAAGTAAAGCCCATTACTCTTTAATGTTGAGGATGTTTGCCCATTCACGCTTCACATGTTTTCATTGTATCATCATGCATAATCGTTAATCTTTCAGGTTGTGTGATTTTATTTGGTATTTTCATTGACAATAGTTTTCTCCACTAGTGGTAAGCATGCCAGTTAAAGTAAAATGGTCTCCTTGATATATTTTTCTCATTTTAAGTAGGAATAGTAGATATTGGTTATCTTGTATTGGTTAAATTAAAGCAGCATGGTTAGTTATTGTGTATTTAAGGAGAATCAATTGTACTTTTCTTTTTGGGGTTTAAGTTAATTTTGAAGAGTTATGGGTCGAGACCCGTAAATCTCTTTGTAGTGATCTAAACTTTGCTTATATCCCTCGACGCAAGTGGGACATAAACTTATCTATATATCCATAAGATAAACTTATCTTCTTCTCTAAGTAATTAAATAACTTACAATACTCAGTTGGCACTTAACCGTACACTTACGAAGAGGTAATTGGTTAAGAGTAGCTCATATTACTAACTAATGTGTATACTAACAAGGGACCACTTATTCTTCTCTTGTCCCTACTCCTCTCACGTTTGGTCATCTCTAACCCGAGATATGCTTGGACTACGGTTTACAACAAGCTGGGAGTCTCTACTACCTCTCCTCACATCCTCGACAACTCCACAAATTCATTTGTTTGTGTTGCGGTATGTATTTCAACTCTCTATTCATAGTCTTTGGCGAGAACGGAATGGGAGAAGACATGGGGAGCCTCCAACACCGGCGTCGCAGTTAACAAATGTGATTGACAAGAGTATGAGAAACAGGCTAAGTACCTTTGACTGGATCACCCGTTTTCGAAGGCGGGCTGCGATATTGGTTTAGTACCCATTGACGTGGATGATTCTTTCATGTTGTAATCTCTTCCTCAATTGTTTTGGATTTTCAGATTAACGTTGCATTTATTGTAAAACAGTCTTTTTTTGGTGAATAAATTTTACATTCATACAAAAAAAAAAATAATTAAAAAAAAAAAAAATAATGTGTATAAAGTATCTAAGCAATAATACGTTTTGAAGAGACATCTCCAGAAGATCTAAGAGCTAGAAAAGGTAAAACCTCAACCAAGTATCACAAGGATGTTGCAGGAATTGGTACAGAGACATTACCATTTACAAAGAACTCATATGAACAGTTGGTAAAGACAAAACTCGATCTAACCTTATAGATATTGAGTTGGTTTGGCAAATAGTACTTAGACAGTGGCGCTTGTTGTTGATCAGTAGTAGAGGTGATCCGTATTGGGCTTGTCAGACATGGTTGGGGGTTACATTTTCTTAATTCAAACAAAAAAAATTATTATCTCTACTGTTTTAATGCATTGGCCAATGAAATTTTTTATATAATACATTAAAAAAGGATAAAAGAAAAAATTTAATTGTTTTTTAATAAACGTGAAATGAAACGGAAGGAATATGCATTAGAACGATGATGGAGTTGATTTTACAAATCAAATCTTATATCGAAAGAATCCATGCATTTTGAGTATATATTTATGTCATATACATTGAAAAGTGAGGGTTATTTAATCTTTTGACAAAACATAAAATAAAGGGTTTTCATGGTTGTACGGAATATTAAAGAGTGGAAAGTAAACATAATAACGTGGTACGTACATGCATCTTCATATGCACAGATCTTTATTAAGGACTGAAAAAGAAAAAGGCAAAGCTCCTAAAAATGTGAGAAACATAAGCTTTTTGGTAATTTTAAAACTTTACTATCTCTAGAGAAGACACGGAATTGTATGATTAAATTCGTCAGTCTGTAACAACACTCTTTTACTTTATGCATCATCCATTTATCCTATTGGTCCCGTAAAATTATTATTCATTATATAAACTTTAAAAAAGATAGCAATGAATCATAAAATCCTTGCTGTCCAAAAAAAGAATCATAAAATCCATAGTAATAATGCTGATTGGTACGTACTCAAGACTTTGAAACCAAAATATAAATAAAACATACAGATAAATAAGTTAGTATTATTTTATGAAAATTTGAGTGAATAATACGAATTGAACAAACACAAACTCGACAAGTACACTCTCTCATACATCTAACAAGTTCATAATCATACAATACGAATATAATTCTTTGTCACACCTGATTCTATATGCACCCATATATTGACTATAACAAACCGATTCTAATATACCTTTTAGTTTCTCCATATG